TTGCGAAGAAATTTTTTAATCCTATGTATGCTACATATTTTTATTTTTTGCTAATTATTTGGCAAAAGTATGTACATACATATGTATGTATATTGAGAGAAGTCTTAAGTAAAACTTTTATCACTTAACATTTACACATTTCAACGCACTATATTTTATCTTCATTAGAAAAGTTTTCAAGTTAATTTTGTTGAAGTGAGCAAACGCTTTGGCATGTTATCAACAAAACTTTCAATGACTATTGTACTTATAAACGAGTATAATCACGTGCAAAAATGTATACATATTGGCACATGATAATTAGTATGTAAGTATGTGCCTTACGAATAAAAAATAAGCAATTGATTTTTCTTAACATTTTAGATCTTTTACTTAAATTTGTTTGAATAAATCGAATAAAAGGTCTGCAATTTTAAGAAAAAGCAATTGCTTAGTTTTTATTCATAAGGCCCATTGAGTTAATGAAAAGTGTTTTTTGAAAAAAAAAAAAAACTTTTTTCAGTATTAGCTGGCTACATAATGTCCGGACGAGAAAATATGCTGGGCCCTCTTAGAACAGATTATTCAGCACCCTATTGTGGCACGGATCATCTGCATGCTCGAAAGTAGTTTAATTAGCGCGGCTATGATACAGGATCCGTAAGAAAAATAACCACTATGGCATACTAGGCCCTCTCCTCTGGCTGGGGGTGTTCAGTTTTATACTAAAATCATCGCTTAAAACAACAGGAATAAAGGTTCTCGCCTTTTCCGATAAGACAAATTCTTCCCAACGATAAGAGAGTTATTGGAGAGAGTACTGTATGTTACCTATAGACCTTCAGAAACTTAGATCTGCAGATAATGTTCAGGGAAGTGCGCGTTATGGGAACTAAGTTATAATACCCTTGTGCACAAGTGGGTTCGGGTATAAAAAGGTGCCTACTTCCGGCACTCATACGAGACAAACTTGTATGTATGCATGTCTTCGAGTAAGAGGATCGAGATCCATATACAAGCCCTCATAACCGAACCTAGCATAACCTAGATACGTAAAGTAACCAAACTTTTTTCGAGACCTTACCTGACCTTTTTTTATTGAAATAAAATATTGTTTTAGAAAATATGCGATCCTATTATGGTTGTCGACGTCGACGTCATGTTTTCGTAAAAAACCAGCCCTCGTCAGTCCAACTCCGGTTTCGCTGACCACAGTACTTTTCCGAGGAACACCTTTCCGCTAAAATACTGTGGTCAGCCTAGCAGGCGTTCGACTTACGGCGGCTATTTGTTTATACATAAATAAATATCGACTGCTAAGTGGTAGATCGACATATTTTGGCGGCCGGTTCGAAAAGAACCCTATCTTAGAAAACTTTTCAAGAGCGTTTTTGAATCGGTAGCTGAGATCGGTAGTTTTTGAACCGAATTCTAAAAAAAGGCATTCTTCAATCAAAATTTGATATAAGGCTTTCTTCAACTTAATTCTGAGATAGGGAGTTTTCGACCGGCTACCTACCTATCTCGATATACACTTTAACCTGCGATTTCTACTGATTTTATTATATACCAAAAGCAAGCGTCCACTAAAGGGATTTTATTAGGACATATCGGTTTCGATGGCTTATTACTTAAAACTAAAAAAATTGTTGTATTAATAAAATTAACCGAAATTAGCAGATATTCTACTAGAAAGTCGTAGATGGGAAAGGAAAGATTTTGACTGCTATCTATTTTTGTATATGAGAAGCAAAAAATTTCGGCGTTAATTCGGAGGGGTTTGAGAACATCAACAATATTTCTGTCACTTCTCTATTTAACGGCTTCAAACTATTCTTATATAATAAAAATTTTGATCCGATTGAAGTTCGCTAAATACTTCGCCTTCGTCTATTAATAAACTCTGCTAAATAAAATGATGGCTAAATCAATGTGAAAGGTTACAATCCCATATTGTTTACGTAAAGATTTATTAGAAAAGTGAATGTAAAAATATATACTTCTAAGTAAAGTTCACTAACTATTAAATGTTAATGCTGCATAAATATGTCGTGCGCTCACTATGACCTTCGATTAAGTCAATTAGAACACAACAAAGTCGAGATTGATACAAATATTTACGTACATATGTACATATGAAAGCTATAGCTAGAAACTAGTTAGATTAGAAAGTATGTAGCGGACAATTCTCAAAATAATTACAAAATAGCATACGTATATACATATACTACATCATATATATGTGTATACTTATATAAAGGGTGCTGCAGATCTTTGACCGAAACTATTTGTGATATGTTCACAGTTCGTTCCAAATTGTGCCTCAAAACGTAGACGTCTACAGTACAAAAGTTGAAAAGGACGTCGCCTACATTTTGTTGTTGTCGCAGCAGGGTTGCATAACGGCAACAGCAATCGGATTTTTTAAATTTATTGTGGACGTTTTCCGTATTTGCATTTGATTTGAACGCAATGGCGGATGAAAACAAGCAAATTAAGGTAAAGAAAGAAGAAATATTGGTAATTAAGATAAACAATTCAAATTTTTCAGAGCGAAAATCGAAAGACATACATATGTAAAGAAATGGACGTAAGGAAGACATGCCTGGCAACACCAGTAAAGTGTTGCGACAGCTGCTCGAAAGGAGTAGGTACTCATAGTTTGATGCTAAAAATGTCTGTTAATGTTGACATCTACATTTTGAGACACAATTTGTAACGAACTATGAACGACGAAAATGTTTTATTTGTTTTATTTTTCCAAACAATAGGAACTATAGGATTCGGCAAACTTAGTCACGGAGCGATACTCAGTAGAACAACTCGTAAAAGCGATCTAAGCGTCCTCACCTAAGCAAAATTACACCCACTGCAAGAAAAAACTATACACCCTGTTCCTTCGGCAAAAAAAAAAACATTTATTAATAAGAAGAAGAAGATTTACGGAAATACCGTTAAATGGGAGGTGGTCCGGTTTCGACCATTTCCAATACCAACTTATGTACCTTGGATAATGAGAACCTTCATACCCAATTTCGTTCAGATATCTCAATTTTTGCTCGAGATATCGTGATATACATAGCTTAATCGACTTCTCTCTTTATTATGAGCCTGATATATATATATGTATGTCTATATATTCGATTCCTTTAAGCTGTTACAAACAAACCAAGGCATATGAAAGAGGTATGTAGTGGCATTAGAGAAAACAACATTTACGTGTATTCACTTGTTTCTTCTGGTCTCCAAAGTGTCAAAAGAGTATTTTGATTTTTTTTAACATCAAAGTGTTCCATGTGAAGTAAAAAAAAACATTTAAAACAGTAAATTTTAAATACATAAAAACTGCTGCAACTTCTTTCTTAGTAACATTGTTTTCTTCCAGAAGCATCGATCCATCCTTTGCAAGGCTCAGTAATCAACATTTCCTGAGTTAGGCGAACGTATAAAAAAAGGGTTTAGCAAATAAAGTTTGACAATTTAGAATTTTTGTAAAAAGGGATTTAAAAGATTTCCCAAAATAAATGAAATCAACTGCTCTACTGCTACTATCTGTTCAATATGCCTTGAGACAAACCTTAAAGGCTCCGTTATGCATACTTGGCATGGCTTGAGAGCTGTCACATAAGAAATCTGTTAAATGAGCCTCGCGTGTAATCGGTTATCGAACGCACAGCACTACATACGTAGAAGTCTGTTGGTTTTTGATTTCTACGTAAAAATGGTATAGCAGTGCATGCAATGCCAAGTATGCATAACAGAGCCTTAAGAGAATAGTGTTATAATACCCTTGTGCACAAGTGCGCTGGGGTATGAAAATATATACATATCTTTTGCCAACTTACACTTAACTGTCTACCTTTCATTAGAATGTTCTCCTATACTTGTCGACCTTTACATTCAGCCAATCCAGCCAAACTTAGCCCTTGTCTCAAAAACCCCAAGCGTTCGTCTCTCAGCACTTCGCTATTAAAAGTTACATATCGTGCTCTGGCGTCTTCACGTTCACGGCAAGGAAGCCAAAGGCCAGTTATGGCATAATTATGTTGACGGATGTTTTGCACTGAGTGTATACCGTATCTGACAATCTGGCGAGTTAGAACGATGGCCAGATATTTTTTTAGCCGTCAAGTGGTTTTAGCTATTGAAGCTACGTCAGAAAATGGGTGAATATTGTGAGTCGAGTATGTGTTGTGATTACCTTAGTCCACCTTTTTTCTGGAGCATTCAGAAGAGCCTCATTCTGGTTTATTTGAAAATAAATGCTCAGAAAACATGGGAGTCTTATATTGATGTGACCATGAGTGAAAAAAATTAACAAATCATTGGATATATACAAAAAAAATAAAAAATTATCCATCAGTTACACATTTTTTAAGCCTGCTCAGGATTGGACACTTCGTTAAAGCCATACTATTGAAAAAATAGTATCCATCAAAATATCACTTGCACTTTTTGGCACTCTACTCCACTTGAATTTTATTTACAGAAACCGCAAACTCCCATAATTCAGATCATGAGAGGCAACAACCACCCTAACCATACAAATGCATGCGTTCAAGAGACAATAACAAATAAATAATTCTGAGATAAATTTAACGTTTTTACGGACTTTGACCCTGTTGCGTATGTATATATGTATGTATGTATGGCTGCGTGTGTATGTATACTTAATTGTTCACGTTCATGCGCCGCAGACAAAAGTCGCAATTGTATTGTGTAATTTTGTTGTTGTTGAGGAACTTGTGGTTTTTGGGAATCTCTTTTATTGTATTGATAAAAAAAAAATCGGCTTAATAGAATTATGAACGTATGTAGTTAGCAATGTCAGGCCTGACTATACGCGAATTCCCGTACTTTTATATACACGTACATATTTATATGTATATATTTCTATAATAGTATGTGTGCAGAGTTATTGTAAAAATTAGCAATTCATTGGGGGCTAATGACACAGGACTTTCGACCGTCACTCGCAGGTAGACCCCATCGTATGTACACATTCACACATCCAGACTCACCTTTTTTCGTTGGCCACTTTGTCAGGCGGGTCGATGTTTTTGCCAAAAAACGATATGTAGAATACCATCTTGAGTAGTATTTATGTACTATTTCCTTTCACACGTTGTTGGAATTATCCGTTATTACAATTTGTAGATATGTAATGCTTTTTTTTTGCAAGTGTAGGTGTCAGATTTTACTTTTTTTTAGTAAATATTTGCCTTCTCGTGGGTTTCTGTGCAGCTGTATTGTGTTGGGCTTAAGTATTTTTACTGTTTTTTTAATTGAATTTTTTGTTAGTTGAAGGAATGCGTGGAAAAATGTGAAATACATACTATCGCTAGCTTGTGCGAAAAGTTGCTAAGTCTGTCGTTTATGTTCGCTTATATTTTCATACAGAAAGCAGGGAAATTAAATATGCATCGTTTCAGGAAGGACTGAATATTATTTTTCCATTGCTGCTCATTACTACGCAGTGAAACAAAAATTTGCCAAGTCCCGCGAAAGCACAAAAAATCCGATAAATTCAAAACAATGCCATTTTCGCATCTCTTTTAGTAAGAACGTACGTATGTAGTTATGTTCCGCTTTGGCTTCGAAATTTTAGCTATTAAAATTTTGCAAAATATTTGAAGAAAATAAGTTTAGGAAGTTTTTCTTTTCTCGTGCAAAATTTCAAACACTGGACTTAACAAAATTTTACTCTATGCTAGCGTTATGTACAGTGACTGAAAAATGTGTTCACATTCTGCTTATTTTTGAATACATATTCAGCCTTATCATTAGTTTCATTTTCTCCGAACCGGTTCACTTTTCACTTTTGGTTTCTATGTATTTACTATGGGCGGATTTAAAATTTTCGGGTTACTTTTTTTTAGGCGGAATCCAGGATAAGGCAGATTGATAATGCTTTCCGTAAATTTTTTTCTGTTATTTTTTTCATATAAATGAAATTCTCAAACTGTATGCCAAATTTTAAGAATATTCAAAACATTTTTAACAAAATTGCGAACTAAAACGTTATACTAGATGTTGTACGTTTAAAGCAGCTAAGAATTCACGTAGATTTTTGAAAATTTATTTTTGTCCCGGTTTTTTGCCTTTTTTTCATATAAGAAGTGCAATTTATAAAAACTGACAATGATTTTTTTTATTTTTTTTGCGAGTGGTCTCGTTCATTTTTTACTTAAGAAATTCATGTTTATATGGAAAAGAAGTGCAAAAATGTGTTAGTAGAAAAAATTATTAAAATTCAACGCGATTTTTCAGCCATTTGAAACTTGCACTTTATTGTATTAAAATGATATGTGTATATAAAACCATACACCTAAGAATATTCTGAGATTCAAATTAAAAATATTGAAATTTTAATGAAAAAAATTCTCAATTTTGTATTAAAGCATGAGAAATATATTTATAGGAAAAAAAATATATTACTTATAAACTTTATGGATATAAATTTAAAAAAGAGCTTGTGAATACTTGTTTGAGGTACTGCTTATTTATTGTTTAGAATTGGGTTTTCAGAGAAAACAGTTTTATTTAGAAATAAACCTTTAACTTTTTTGTAATCTTTTGCAATAGTTTTGTGTATACAGAAAAATTATTTATGCTGTTTCAGGCAAATTTTCGCAGTAAATATTTTTCCGTTGTATTTTCTAATATTTATTCGTCCAATCATGGCAATTTTTTCAGCGCTTTTCTTAGTAAATATATTTTGCATCATGTAACTTTTGAGCTTTAATTAAATTGTTTGTCAGTAAATTAGATTTTCGCGTGAATTTCACTATACACAATTTTTATTAAAAATTTGTTAAAACTTTCTTTAATTTGATTATTTTTAAATTTTTCGGGCAATTTTCTCAATAAAATTTTTTTATTATATTTTTATTTTTTTTTATTATATTTTGTCGTTTATTTCAATATACATACATAGATATGCACTTTTGTGTTAATTTTTATCAGTAAATATTTTGTTGTAGAAAAAAGATTTTCCTGTTTTTCGCGGTACATTTTTTGCGCTAAACTTTTAATTTATTTTAGAATCTTTTATTATTTGTTAAAATTTTTGGTGTGTCTATACATTTTTTTGTTTGTCAGCGGTATTCTCAGTAAATATTTTTTAATTTTTTTTTAATTTAAATTTCTTAACATTCTCTTATCGCAACTTTTTCCAGCGAATCTGCGGCTGTTCTTTTTATAATTTTTAAAATTATTTTTAGCGCAGTGTATGTTTGTATGTATGTTCATTAGAGCGTCCTCTTGCGAATGTAATGAATTTTTGCAAAGGCAATTTCGAAATAATATTTTTTTTTTTTGCCGACCGTAGGGGTTGCCTTTTTACTTTTTGCGTCATATCTTCGATGTTCTTGTTTCAATGAAGCAATTTTTGTTTGTTCCTAAGTACATTGGAAATCATTAAAAATCATTAAACTTTTGCTAATAAAGTACTCTTCCAGTTTCCATTATTCCAGTAGAACTATTTAAAAATCAAATTTCATTGTCAAATGCACTTACATAGTAGTCACCAAAATTTGCAATAAGGGTCGCCTTTCGGTTCAGCAAAAAAGGTTTTTTTTCGAAATTGCCTTGCAAAAATACTTTAGGCTCAGTAATGTGCGGCGAACTTTTTTGTTTACTTGTAAGGTGGTACGGTCTAATGTAGATATGCATGTACATACCTATGTATGTATTTACACTTAGCTGAAAGTTAGCTTTTGATATGAAGACACTCTGTAAAGCTCTTTAGTGATGCATGTGTGTATGTATGGATATGTACACTTCCATACATACCTACATATGTATGTATTATTTATATATTTACATTATATATAATATTAGTTTTATAAATATTTAATGTACTAACCACTACAATTATATTCGGAGGCAATTCTTAGGTTGACATTTATTTCTGCAGACCAGTTGTGCATATTTTTTTTATTTTTTATTTTTAAGAGTATTTTTTATTTATACATATACATAAATAAATATATTTACTTTTTTTACACTTTGTTATGCATACCACAATCCCCAGTATGTAAAACTTTTCGATGTGTGTATGTACATATGTGTGAGCCGTTTAATTGCTTTGGCTTTTGCCATTAACTGGTAGTCGTATCTCCGGCTATACATACATATATCTTTTTGGTATCACACCACTGCCCCAAGCACTTCGTCTTTCGCATTGGGAGCCGGAGTTGTCGCGCGCCGCTACTATCTACACGTATCTAAGATATGTTTCGTGTTTCGTTTGAGCGGCAATATTACGAATGCTCGGTTTGGATCGCGCTCGTCGGTGGCGGCAGGTTAAAAAAAGCGACGTGACGTCAAGGTAAAAAGACAAGCTTGTTTAGGTGTGCGTGTGTAAACTTTATATGTATTGTGCAGTGCTCTAACAAAGCACTGTATATTTGTATTCGTATACGAAATTCGCTTAATTTTCTACTAACTTCTTTCCATATAAATTATAATTTAACACACACGCGCGCAGGTGGTTTTATTTTTTGATTCTTGCAATTTTTTTTTTATAAATTACTTTTCGTTTCATAAGCGCATTTATTATCAATTCTACTTAATTGCAATTTAGATTTTTCAATATCATTTCACCATCCCTTTCAGTTCGATTTTTTTCCACTTTGCTCACAGATAAGCCACACGCGCAAGTTTTCGCTACAATGACGGAACAAGCCAACAATGGAACTCACCGTTACGATTGAAGTTCCTCAACTGATTTTCGCTTTGGAGATTCGGTGCTCACAGTCGCAATGCGAATTTTTTTCTCCCCAACGTTTTGCTGATTATGAGATAATATGCGCGATAATGTTGTTATTGTTATTCTTTTGTTGGTGTTGTTTTTTTTTTTTTGTGTTGGTGTTAGTGTTAATGCTGGCGTTATTAAATTTCGCATTGGTTATTGGCTTGTTGGGTTTTGTTGGCCAGCTGCTAGTACTTTGATATGTAAAGCCTCTTGTAAGCTTATACAGGGTGATAAATATTAGCTTTAACTAGCGAACTGGTATGGCGCTAAAATGCCGATATTGAACTAACCTTTTTAAACAGTTGGAAATCATCTTCAAAAGCCTTAAAAATATTCCATGTGTTAGTCAGCGTTATAAACGTTCCACGGGCCAAATTTTATCTAAATCCTTACTAAAATCATTACTAAATCATTACTTGTAAATACTACTTTTCGAATAGGTGTCAACCGCAATCAAAAATATTTTCAAACTCAATATTTCTTAATTCACTTTCATTTGACAACTGTATTTTGAAATTTCATATAACTTGTGTATGACTTAATTAAATTCGACTTTTCCAACTGACGGCAACCCTCTTCAAAAAATTTGCAAATTGAACCTTCTTAAATGTCTTTCGTCTGACATTGTGATACATATTTCAATTAACTGATGAATAAAGTAGAATTTGATTTTTAAACACGGGGCAACCCTCCTAAATATACTTCGGAAATAAAGTCTCTTCAAACCCATTTCGATTAATACACAACTTTAAATAATTCACTTGACTTGTTAAATAATTTGAATTTATCTTTTTTAACCCGCGGTAACCTTCTTGAAATACCTAAAAAATATTCTAAACGTTCAAACTAAAGATTTCTTAAAACTCTTTCATTTGGAACCCATAACCCATTTTAATATTTCATATAACTTGTGTATAATTTAATGAAATTCGATTTTTCAACCAGGTGGCAACTGTCTTATGCAAATTTTCACCCTAAAATCTTTTTCGACCTCTTTCATACGACACCCATATATGCCTTGATTTTTTGAACCGATGGCAACCCTCCTATATATAGTTATGTAAGAAATAAAATCTCTTCAAAACCATTTCGATTGATATCCATATTTTAATAATTAATTTAACTGCAATCATAACACCTGCTCTCAGAGAGCACTCTTCAACAAACCAACATATGCGAGCAGTGGAACCACATTTCCTGCTCATTATGTACCGCCGCCGAAGAAGTAGTCGGATTTCAGCGAGCCCGAAAGAACAACTGGTACGATGAGGAGCAGGGCTGCCAACTATACTTAACTATGAAGTGCCATATTGAGGATAAAAAAGTGCCAAAATGTGCCAAATAGAAAAATAAAAGTGCCAAAAAAGGTGTCATTGTTTTTAATCCTTCGCATTTAGCATTAAAATTGGAAACATATTCCTAAAACAAAAGTCCAATGCCAAAGTAAGATAAACCAGTTGTACTATACACTATAGAAATTAGAAAATTTTAGTTGAGAAAAAGAAGTAGACGCAAAGGATTTCACAACAATGTATTGAAATACTACTATTTTTCAAAAGTGCCATTTTGGCACTTTGTGCCAAATTAAAAAATTAAGAGCCATTTGAAGTAAAATAGGGTGAAAAATGGCACGGTTTGAGCCAAGCCGTGATGAGGAGTGCCAGGAAGCTGCAGAGAAAAAAAATGCCGCCTTAAGGGCTACGCTGCGATCGGGCGCAACGCGCGCTTTGTGGGACCGGTACAATGATCTGAAAAGGGAAGCGAGACGTATTTACCGCAATAAGAAGAGAGAGGTCGAAATGAGGGGCTTGCGAGGAGCTTGATATGCTGGCCGACAGGAAGAATGCCCGAAAATTTGACCAGAGAGTTAGGCAACTTACGGAAGGTTTCAAGACCAGGGCGTACTCCTGTAAGAACAACCATGGCGACCTAGTTACCGATGTTCAGAACGTACTTAAATTATGGAGGTAACACTTTTCCACCCTACTGAATGGTATCAGCACGGAAAGTTGTGAAGAAGAAGAACCCGAGCCCCCAGTCGATGATGACGGAGTCGATGTTCCTCCGCCTGACTATGACGAGGTACGAATAGCAATATCGCGGCTGAAAAACAACAAAGCAACAAAGATGACATCGACATCATGGGTAAATAAACAAGCCGGCTGAAGACATACTATACGCTAGGTTCGGGAAGATGGCGTGGGGCATAGGTAGCGTATACCTTCGCCGGAAGAAACGAAACCTGGCCGATAATAACGAGAACACGCTGGGGGGCGAGAGGTTGAGAAGGATCTGGGAGAGATCCACCTTGAAGCTCCAGGAGACCGAGAAGGTTGAACCGAAGACTCTACCCGACCCCGAGAAGAATCCTGATCCTTGCAGTGAAGGTTCTTCAGGTAAATCTGCATAAAAGTAAGGTCGCCTCTGCCGAGCTCCTCCTCAATTTAGAGAGGATCGGCTACGATGCGGCTACGACGCTATATTTCTCTTCAGATGACCTGACGGTGGTAGATGTGAAGGATGGCAAGGATGACACAATACTCCTTGCATCTTGGTGGGAGAGGCCGAGAAGGCGAAACGTCCACTCATCATAGGCGCGGATGCCAATGCGCACAACACGGTATGGGGGAGTGGAGATACCAACGAAAGGGGTGAGTCTTTACTAAACTTTTTATAAATAAGTAATTTAGGTATAGCTAACCGGGGTGAGGAACCAACTTTTATTGGCCCTACCTCGAAGAACATCCTAGACATAACACTCCACACTAGTGGGGGAATCGGAGTAGAAAACTGGGAGGTGCTTAGTACACCCTCGTTCTCTGACCATAGGTATTTCAGGTAAAATTCTCAGCCCGTACAAAAAGCGAAACTTTCAGAAATCCCAAGAACACGAACTGGAAATTGTTTGAAAGGGTAGTGATGAAGAATATAACCAAGTATAGGGTAAGTGATTCCCACTCTGAATTGGAGAAACTGGTAGTCACACTTACCAACACTCTAAACAAAGTTTATCGCATCGCATGCCCTCCGCTACATGCCAAGCGAGGTTCAAAGCCACCTTGGTGAAACAGGGGGCTCGGAGCACTCAGAAGAAATGTTAGAGAACTCTTAAAACTGGCCAAGGTAGCCGATGACGAGTTCTTCTGGATGGAATACAAAGAAGTACTTAATGAATACAAGAAAGAGATTCGCAAATGCAAGCGGGAGTTGTGGAAGAGCTTCTGCCGCGAACTAGAAAAAACAACCGAGGTAGCCAGGCTAAGGAAATTACTATCCAAGAACCCCACTACTCCTAGGTTACTAGGAAAAAATTTGGAGAGTGGACTGGGAGCAGTGAGGACTCACTGGAAAGCCTAGTCAACACACATTTTCCGGGGTGTACAGACAGCATAGATCTGCAACCTTTAGGAGATAGCTTGGAAAATGTCCCCCCGGACATCATAACGGAAGAAAAAAATACGGTGGGCAGTCGATGGCTTCGAACCGTTTAAGTCCCCAGGCACAGACGGTATCTTTCCAGCCATGATGCAAAAAATTTCCGCAGTGCCGGCACCATACTTGAAAATAATATACGAGGGATGTTTAAGGCTAAACTATGTGCCTGTCCTTTGGAGAGAGGCGAGGGTCGTATTCATATCGAAGGCGGGCAAGGGAAAGACCCTCTCTTCCCTACATTAGGGATAAGCTGCCGTCGGCCAGCATATCAAACGCGCAGCATGCCTACACGAAGGGTAGATCCACTGAGACTGCACTTCACTCACTAACCGCGGTAATAGAAAAAACTCTGGAGCATAAAGAATATGCCCTAGGAATCTTTCTGGACATAAGTGGGGCATTTAATAATGTCTCTTATGAGGCAATAGTGGAAAGCCTAGAAGCAGCACAGGTAGAGTCTGGAAGATTAAGGCGGAGTGGAACGAAGCCAGACTGCTCAGACTAGCGCGTAGAGGAATTCCTCAGGGTGGTGTTCTGTCACCACTCCTGTGGCTACTCGTAGCGAATGATCTTCTGGGAAAATTCGAAGGGAAAGCACCTAGACTAATTGCCCATGTAATGGAAAGCGCTCTAAGTAAGGGTCGTACATCGATGGGCGACAACAGCCAACTTAGAGGTAAATGCTGACAAAACGGATGCGGTACTGTTCACACGAAGGTACAAAATCCCCGAGGCTCAACTGGGTGGAGCTATCAATCAAGGATCACAGCAAGTACCTGGGAGTAATTTTGGACAGCAAACTGATGTGGAAGCTAAATGTAGAGGAAAGGGTGAAAATGGCCAGTGGTGCCCTTTACGTATGTAAAAGGATGCTGGGTACCACATGGGGCGTATCCCCTGGCCTCATGCATTGGTGTTACATAGCGGTAGTTAAGCCGATATTGCTCTACGGCGCTCTGGTATGTTGGACCGCTGCCAACAAAATCTCGTATAGAAAAACATTGGAGCGAATACAGAGGCTCGCTGCACTGTGCATAACAGGAGCACTAAGGACCACTCCGACGGTGGCACTTGAGAGGCTACTTGAGATTGATGGCCTTAGGTGAACTCTCCGCAAGAACCTTCGGGCACAGCTCGATATGCCGGGGGATGGAGGACAAAATAGACCACATACCCCCACGCTTCATCTGGGAAAGAAGGTTTAAAGCTACGGTTAAGGAGGGCGGATGGCGCATGAGCACGCGACCCGCCAGCGGAACGTATAACATCTACACGGATGTATCAAAACTGGCTGATGAAGTGGGCGCCGGAGTCTATTGCGCCGAGCTAGACCTCAGGCAACCCTTCAAGCTTCCAGAGTACTGCAGTATTTTCCAGGCGGAAGTCTTCGCTGCAGGGAAAGTTACTGAGATAGCTATCAACGCAGGAAACTATATAAAAAATATCAATATATATGTCGATAGCCAGGCGGCGATTAAGGCTATAATCTCACATCGTATTGCGTCAGAAAATGTCCTTAGAATCAGGGAAGCAGTAGACAGGG